CTACCAAGCAACCATAACATAACCAGGATAAACTTTCAATATGTTAACAATATAAGAAACCACAAATCAACCCATAATATACCCAGAAGAAATCATCAGTACATTAGCCATATGTGGAACTACCAAGCAACCATAACATAACCAGGATAAACTTTCAATATGTTAACAATATAAGAAACCAGAAATCAACCCATAATATACCCAGAAGAAATCATCAGTATATTAGCCATATGTGGAACTACCAAGCAACCATAACAAACCAGTAAAACTCCTTGATATGTCTCGACATGTAAAACTGCCAAGCAATCCACAACACAGCCAGAAAAATTCCTCAGTACATTACCCACAGATGGAACTACCAGAAAAACACACAACATGATCATTAGAAATCTTCAATATATTACCCACACGTAAAACTACCAAGCAACCCATAAAATAACCACAAACCTTAATCATATTTTTCACATGTGTATCCTAGCAACCTGGTTATATCTCAACTTCCCTGGAACAAGTACCATGGTCCTGTCTCTTTTTTGTTTCTTTTACTTAAAAAAAACAAAACATTTTAACTGACGCACACAATTAACTATAACTATGCAAGTTTATATCATTTTTTCAACAAGTATTTTAAAACTTATAATACAATGAAATATATCTAAACTTTAATTTTTGAATTTAACACTAGAAATTGAGTAAACGTTGCTTACATCTTCAAATGAAATGTTAAATATGAGTAGAATAAATTTTGTACAAAAACGTTATCTGACATGTGTTACACTACTGAGAAACTTCTTTAAACGAATATTTTAGCAATTTATACTAAGCACTGAAGCTAAGTTAGGCTCATTTCTCCGAAAGGGGGCCAAAGGATCATGTGTTTTCACCATTCGCACTACAATACAGTAGTGTGTTGTCTGTTAGTCAGTGACACTAAAATGACGTCACACAAGGGACGCTTAACGTTGTAATTGTACTGTCATGACGTCAGTAAAACGTGCGCATGCCATGAATCACGAGAAGAATTATGCACTCTTTATGCTACAACATAGTATGACATATGAACTTCAAAAGAAAAAAAAAAAATTGTTACTTTGATTTTTGGTTTTATTTACTCTTGAAACAGAACACCTCGGGGACACTACAAAAGTACATCTAGCATATATACATTTGTGATGTTAGAAAATCACGTCGATTCAATAAGTCTTGATAGAAATGAATAAAAACCCTATAACCCGACCGCTTTCGAATGGCGGACTTTTCTTCTTCAGCTTGCCCCAGTTTTTTATTAATTTCTAGTATGCATATATGATTAGTCTAAAGACTGTCAGACTATCTTTCTAAAAGCAGCTTCATGACAGAGAGTAATTTACCTTGTAGAATTATTGTAATGTAAAAAAAAAAATCTTTATGAAACTGTAAATGTACAAACACTGACTTTTTTTTTCACAAAAACTTCAAACATAATAAACGAAGACGTAATAAAAAAAAATTGAAAAAAGGCACCTTTGGAGGCAGAACATCTTCATCATCACTATCAGTGTCACAGTCTTCTTCAATAAGTTCATCCACGCTTTTGTTAAATATGCTTCTGTAAAAAAATAATTATTTAATTACTTGCCGTAAGTTTAAAAATATACACAAAATTCCAGTTTGCTAGAATCGTACTAATATATTCTTACTAGCTTAATAAAACCAATTCTCAACTTAAACGCATTCATTTATTTATATTTACTCAATAATATACATTTTCTGACCCAATTCTTGTTTAATTTCAACTAAACAAGGAGCTCGTTCTACTAGGAGGCAGCCAAACGCTGACACTTTCCTCGTGACGTCGTCAACCAGCTGTCACTGAAGTCTTCTGGGTGTTTTTACTCGCACGTGTCTGTAAGTAGAAAAGAAAAAACACATTGCCAGCTGGCACGTGCCATTTCTTGTACTTCGCTGGACACGTTGGTTCAGTTCAATGGCTTCACAAACTAATGCGCAAAAAGGGAGCGAACAGATGTACAATCCAATAAAACAAAAAATGGAATACTGAAGTCCACAACTTCCACCTATTCTCTAGGCTTTCACAATATTAAAATCAATACAATCACAGTGATTACAAAACATTTATACGAGTAGCTAAATTAAACACATCTTTATCACTAGGAAATTACACATCATATATACAATGTTGACAGTAGCCAAATTCAACACTCCTTTATCACTACGAAATTACACATCATATATACAATGTTGACAGTAGCCAAATTCAACAATAAAGGAGTGTTGAATTTGGCTACTGTCAACATTGTATATATGATGTGTAATTTCGTAGTGATAAAGAAGTGTTGAATTTGGCTACTGCTAACAATGTGTAATTTCGTAGTGATGAAGGAGCTAACAATGTGTAATTTCGTAGTGATAAAGAAATGTTGAATCTGGCTACTGCTAACAATGTGTAATTTCGTAGTGCAGTAACCAAATTCAACACTTCTTTATCACTACGAATATAAACAGAATATAAGGGCAATGCAAACAATAGTTTCGAACGAGAAGGGTAGATTAGGGTTAAATTAGTTCAGTGTCATTTTCATCTTGATAATTATGACTGTACTAATGTGGTTATCTAATAGACAATTAAATCACCGAGCAGTCATATCCACGCAATAGCAATGAACAATCCAGTAAGGTACGCGTGGATTGTTTGTTTTGAATTTCGCGCAAAGCTACACGAGGGTCATCTGCGCTACCCGTCCCTAATTTAGCAGTGTAAGACTACAGGGAAGGCAGCTAGTCATCACCAACTCTTGGGCTACTCTTTTACCAACGAATAGTGCAATTGACCGTCACACTATAACTCCTCCACGGCTGAAAGGGCGAGCATGTTTGGTGGGACGGTGATTCGAACCCGCGAGCGCTTTAACCACCTAGCCATGCCGGGCCATACGTGTGGATATTTAAAAAGTAACTTAGCCGACAAAATGAAATTGAAATTATACACATCATATGGATGTTAGTTCATATAAATGTGGTTGCATGGACGGAAAACCGACATCAATTGTTTTAAGCGCAAAGCTACACAATAGGCTATCTGCGCTCTGTCAACAGCGGAGAATCGAGCCCTAGATTTTAGTATTGTAAGTCCATAAACTTCCCACTGACCCACCTGCTTTGTTGCCTTCTCGTTCTTATATTAATTAAGGTGTGTCTAAATAAGTTCGGTTAGCGTCCTCACTCTTGAGAAATTTTCAAGATGTTTGTATAAAAGCGAATACAACGTTTATGATTGTATTACAAACCCTATTTTACCATCATACCACCACCAAATGTCATTTCAAGTTTAATCTGATAACTGAACATTACCTCTTTGTAGTTTAAACCGAATTTCCTGAATAAAATACACATAACTCTAGCTCCGGGAGATTGTGTTTTCATGTGCTGGACACTAAGCCTAATCTGTAAAGACGATGAGGTAACCTTCTCCACCCACGCCAGCAACAAAGTTTAGCTTTAGAATAAAATCCTTGATCAGTGCCTATCATACGTCTTGACCCAAGTACAATGTTGGTTGTTGTTATTACGTTCCAAATTGATGTGAATAACAACATATGAAATATTCTTATCAGAGATAATGTTGTTGAGTATCTATCATTATCAGTGTTATATTTCAGTGAGGTAAAGTAATTTAAAAACTGCTTGCAAACACTGCCTTTTGCGCACGTTTAAAGTGACTCTTATTAGAATGTTGGCTGCCACTTTATAGAAGTTGTACCTTAATATGTTGGTTCGTGTTTTCCTTTTTTTTCTTTTTTTTGTAACACTTACGCCAGTCTGTAGCAGAGAAGAAATTCTAAACTGCAAATGGTGGTGAATATATCGCAACTGTACATCTTACGCTTTCAGTTTAGCTCAAAGCATATACAGTCACGCAAAACTATCTAAAAATATGATTGGTGGTACCGATAAATATATATATAAGCTGCGCCATCTTAAAACAAATACAATACTAAATATATATATTAAATTTTCATTTTAAACCAATCTATTTTCGCGACTTAAAAAAAGGCCGTTGACAAAGCAACAGTTCTCAAATGGTCGAACTTCCTCCCCTAACCCTCCCTCTTTTTTCTTGTCTAGGCTAACATTCATTATATACAAACACACAACAGACCGGATATTTCGAGACAGATGTGGTACACCCGACTCCACAGTTTCTTGATCAGAATAAAGGTTTTGTTTGTTTTTAACGTAAAGTTACACAAATAGGCTATCTGCACGCTGTCCACTAGGGGACAGGAAAGGGATCACTTGTTAATTACACGTCACATAAACAAAATAACAAAACTTATGAGAAACTCTGCATAAAAATTATTGAGCACTGCCGAAGTAAAGAGTACCGATAATTTATTATATTCAAGTCCAAATCACACGTCAAACTATTTCCAGAAGGTATTTTAGGCAATGTCGACACAGTAGAGATTTTTCATAAATGGACTGCTCCTGCCAGTTTCTTGAGTGAGATTATGACGCCATCCTCACTCTAGAAACTCCACTATTAAATGAGATTTTCACTCAAAGTTCTGGGGTATGTAATGTTTTAGTTCTAGTTTCAATGGACTAATACAAAATCAAATCCACTAACAAAGACTGTCGATTGAACGGACGTTTCGGAAAGCTCCAGCTGGCACCTCTCTATATTGTTCTCTCAATAATCGAGAAAGCTGCAGCTGGAACTGCTCTCTCGCTCGTGCCAGCACCTGCACGTGCCGCGAAGTTCTCAAGCTGTGCGGGAAAGCGATGGTTTCAGACAATCAAATACTAACTACAGCATCGGAATTGTGCACCGTGGCACGTGCTCTCTACACAACTGTTGAGCAAGGTAACGCTCCTCAAACATCTCAGCTGTTTCCGGAGCAGATATATATGGCCGTTGCATAATATTCACAGCAATGATAAGTTCTGTTTAATAATATAGAGCACGCTATTTGATAGATCTGAAACCACCATCTTTAACATTTATACCAATTAAGTAAATATGATCCAGCAGAATAAAGATTCTTTGAAAAGATGGAAAAAAAGTTGAAAATTTTTTATTTTACTTTTCTTACATATCACAAAAGTATCTTTCATTTTTCACCAGTAAAAAAATCTATATAACTTACAGATTAACCAGTGCTTTCTGTTTTGTTTAGATGCAGTTTCTTTTAACAGGATTTATTAAATCAATTGCACTGTCTCACTAATTTTTGCAAGAAATGTGAAATGACATATCCTATAGCTAGTTCTCTCAAATCAATGAACAATAAAGAAATAATACTTTTACTGACCTTTAGCAGTAATGTTCCTAAGTGTTATGACGATATAAAAATCCAAAGGAATCTTACCAGCCTTAGTGAACTGGTTATATTGTTAACGTCTAGAAGGTGAGTTTTAATACTGAGAAACAAAATTATGCACTCCGGATATAATAACTTGGAAAGGACTTGATCTCTGTGTAAAAAAGGAAGTGGCATCGTGGAGCACACAAAAAAAAAAAGACATAGAGAGAAAGTTTTAGGTCTTATTGTTGATAACAACCTTAAAGTTCTGAGCTGGGTGTTTAGCTGTGGTGAGAAGATCCAATAGGGTTCGTAGTTCTTTTTTATAGGAATTTAAAGAATAAGAAGATTCTCATAGATTTGTACAAGGTTCTAATGAAGCCTCTCTTAGTACACTGTTTTGGTCCCTTTACTACAGTAAGTGGTATCAACATATTGGGAATAGTTGGTTTAACTTATTTAAATTACGATGACATTTTTTGGAATGTTTTCTCTTGACTGTAATCAAGGAAAGGAGTACTTGATTCAGGTGTTCCAAGTTTATTAGAGGGTATGATAGTTTTCCCTACTGTCTGTTGGAGTTGTGGAGGGAAAAAACTGGAATATTAGAGCTAGCAGGTTTAAACTTTGGAAGTCTTGTTGCAGACTTGTCATTATGCTTTTTTTTTGTTAGAATTATAAAATGACTAGCTTAATAATGTGATATATACTGTAAATTTGAATTATTTTAAACTTTTGTTGGATTGGTATATGGATATTTATATAAAGGACTATATTTAGGTTTGAGTAAAGACTTTACATAAGTTGTTATTTTATTTTTATTATTAATTTATTTTGCTTTCCTTTTCTTTTGTTTCTTAAGTTAGGGAGGCTTCAAATTATTATGCTATATTAACATGATCATTAATTCTAAAGAGGCAATTTTTCAGGGAAAGTTCTCCAAAAAACTTATAAGGATAAGTACGGCTTCAATAAAGTTTTTATTGTGTAAATATAAAACGTTGTTTTTAATTATTTATTATAATTAACTAAGTAGTTCAATGCTATGAAAAATTCAAGCCAGGTAAGATGTGACTATTTAGTGGATAGTATAGCTTTATTTATGTGTTATTGCAAAAATTTATATGCACTGCCAGATCACAAGAGGTAGCTGAGTTAGCCCCAGTTTGAATTTTTCAATTAAAATATAATTTTAAAATCTTCAGGGTGGATTGTTAGATATTCTCATGTGTTACCCTACATTGTTAGTTTGTTTGTTTGTAATTAAGCACAAAGCACAATGGACTATCTGTGCTCTGGCTACCACGGGTATTGAAACCCGTATTCTAGTGTTGTAAGTTCGCAGACATACCGCTGTGCCACTGGGTGGGGGGACATTGTTAGTTAAGGTTACAAATGGTGGTAGTTATTAAATAATAACACAACTTTGGACATATGGATTTAAGCATCTGAGTCCTAGTTCCTTACTAAACTTAAGTTATAAATCTACCAGTTCTTCACCTGTGTTAGGTAATTACTAATGAATCAGTATATCCTAATAACCTGTGAATGCTATTATCTATCTTCTTTTAGTTTTCTACAATTGGTATAACTATTATTTTTGTATTAACTGCGACTCGCAAAACAGTTCCGGCAGTTTTCATGTCTTTCGCTTGAATTTTCCTTATTCTACCATTTACAAGCACGGCATTTACACTAAGCTTTCATGCAGACATTAAATGTTAAATCGCTAAATCCTGGTCTATTTGAAATTAATTTACACGGTTAGCCAAACAAACTCGAGTAGACGATACTTTATTTAATAGAACTATAACGTACGTAACTTTATTTAATACAACTATAACGTACGTAGCTTTATCTAATACAACTATACGTAAAGTAAACAATAAAGTATAGTAATGGTACTTATAATAGTGTACAGAGTATGAAACAGTTATGAGCATTCAGTGTATGACACAATTTTACAAGTTGAAACAAAAAATATCAAAACGAAGAATTAAACCCGAAGTAAAGAAAAAGTAGCTTAAAGGTGTTTATACTATTATAGTAGTCTATGAAACGAAGCTAAATTATTGCGAAATACTTTAATTACATTAGTCTCATATAAGAACTTCCATGATCCAAACATTTCCAGTATTCAGTTACGAGAATTGGAAAAACTGAAAGAGACTTTTCCAGACTTGAATATTTCTTTTTGATTATTTCAGATTACAGTAATATTTCAGAATAATTTTGGTATATACTCTCTTTACTACATGATATCTTCTATCCAATGATATAAGACATACTGTGTTTGTATTAAATTTCTAAAATGGTTTTAATTCAGTTTTCATTTATGTTATTTGATTTACTCCACAAATGTTTATTTTAATAAATATGCCATTTCCTTGAATTTTACATAGAACTTAGAAGCTCCCCCTACATTAAAAACTTACATTCCTTTTTCAGTCTTCACAAATTCTCAATCAACAAAGAAAGTAATTCATGCTTTTTTTTAGTATTAATAAAAGTTCTTCAAATTGTTCAAAGCAGCTTCTTAAAAACTAAACTATAAATTAAAATTTCATGACAAGTACTAGAGTAGTGAGCCTTGTATTATAGCTACTTGTAATACTAATAGCCAACAGTAATACTAAGGAATAGAATAGCGCTACTATTACTATTATATATACTAATACTGTAGTAAACAGTATTAATATTAAGTGTCAGGGAAAGATAAAGCTGCAATATGAACCAAGCTCGAAACAATAAATAAAAACTTATATACGGTCTACCCAAGTATCAAATACAATTTAATATTTTACAATACACATTTTAATGACATTTACTCTAGCTGTATATTTCATGGTTAAACAACTGTTAGCAAATACTACGTACATATATATTACCATATAAGACTGACTTGAAAAAGTACTCCTAACATCTAACATTAAGACAATATATTAAGTTGGAATAGATTTAAGATTGTTCATCAAGTTCGCGTTGCTGTTATTGTTAGAAACTGAGTGAAAAAGTAATCCTTACTTATTCATGCTGTAACAGCCTCTTTTTCTTCTTTTCTTAGTTCGTGCTTCTAGCATCATACCTGTTGGTGTAAATGGATTAATATTTGCAGCAGGGCCTCGAGATTTCACACTATTTTTTGCAGAATTTGCTAAAATGTCAACTTTACTAGTAGTACCGTCAAAAGTCACCCCCAAGCGTGATATTCTACACATAGAGCCTGTCCATGATCGACTGTGTGTAAGACCCCTACAGTTCTCAGTTTCTGAGGCTGAGATGGAACGTTCCGCTCTTTCTAATAAAGTTTTTGGCGTCTGCGGAGATTCAAACAATCTCAGAGCACGAACTCGGTTGTAAGGAGGTGTGTCACCAGAACTTACGCTTGGCTTTACATTGCCAAGCGTTCGGATATCGGAGCCTGGAGTTGAAGTTGAGTTTAGATTAGTTGAAATATCTTTTGTCCGCCTGCTGAGTGTTCTTCGAGAATCAATTCTATTTCTAAAGCCCAGAGGTGAATTGTGTGCATTAACAATTATCAAGTTACTTTCATTTTTTTTTTTATTATCTCGCAAAAAATTAGAGGACGAATCTGAGATGTCTTCTTCAATATTAGTCCTAACAGGTATAGTAAAACACCCACTACCATCCAAAATGTTTGACTTAGAACTGTACGAAGAATCTTCAGAATCAGCGATTGTCTGATTGTCGAGCTTTTGAACTATGCGAGTGTCTTGATCAAGCATGTTTTCTGCCCTATTTAGCGTATTCGGAGCTAATGTTACGTAATCACACAATAATCGCGATGTTAGATGTTCAGATGCCATGACAACGAATCCCTATTCCAAATTGTTGCGTTTTGCACAATATTTTGTTACAATGACTTCAAATAAGTAAACATATTAATTCAAGTTTTAACAATATATTATTTTCACAGACAACACGCTTTCATTGCTAGATAAGCAATGAGCAACCCGTAGCAATAAGCTAAAGTCATGTGAAAATAGCGCCATCAGTGACACAGGGATTACTTTTGACCAATCACATTCAAGATAGCAAGTAAAAGTGTTATGAACAGGGCCCAGTAAGAGCTACAATCCTGCCAACTTCAACCAATAGAAGAATGTAGCATACAATGACGTTAATGTAATAGCTTGACGTCAATGGCAACTTATCGCTCCCACTAGGTTCCAAGGGCACGCGGTTATTGATTGAGTCATTTCTAAACATAGTACCTTTAATATATATATATATATACATTTTAAGGCTGTCAGACAAAAAAGAACAAAGAAAAAACACATTCTCATCAAGAAGTTTCTTATAAGTAAATATGTTTTAAATTAAATCCAATTTTGGAAGTACATGCACTTTAGAGCTTTATGCACACCTAAAGGTACGGTTGAAAATAAGAATACAGATATTACAATTATTAAAACTTTCAGTTTTACAGTTTGTACAATTGTTCGTTTAGTAATACTAAAAAAATCAACCCTACAGGAAAATTGGAAGTTCTTTTTCATATTGGTGGCCAGCAAGTGTCGTCTTTTAGAATGAGCTGTACTGGGTTACACTGTAAAGTTATTTATTTTACTAGTATCGTCTTAGTTTTTACTTATAAGTGATTTTATGCTACCGGTAAACTACGATTGATAAATATCAGCGTTTACAACAAGTTCTGGTGTGAGATACTCTCCCGAGCCAGAGCAAACACACAAGTAGAAGATGACATTAAACGAATCAACATGTTGATTACAAGTACTTAATTTTGGGCTTCTTTAATTTCCAATACCACTATATGTGATATTTGCTTTTCCTTACGATGCATTAGGTATAGTAATGAAATCTTTTACAGATAAAAACTAATACATGTATTAGATATGTTTCGAAATGTACATTTTAAACTTTTGTATGTTTTAAGACTATGTACAAGATACAGCACTAGGTTTTGTAAGAAAATCAATGTCATTTTGCTCTCTAAAATGCACCTGTGTAAATTACATATGATACGTGTATATTTAAAGATAAATACACGAGGGACTTTAAATTGTGAAGTAGAACTATTAGATGACGAGTATGTTAATGGGTAAAGTAACCTTTCTTGTGTGTTTTAAAAGATAAAATTAAATGCTTATAGAATAAGTGGGAACTTTATCCATCTTAATATAAGTAAGCCCTTTAGGTATTTATTAAGCATTTGATCCTAGCATAAGTACCGTCACTGTAAACTTACGGACGTAAAGAGTTTAAATCCTGGGTTTGATTCCCCCAGTGGATAGAGCGCAGATAGTTTATTGTGTAGCTTTGCACGAAAACAACTGATAAGTTCTGTGTGGAATTACGCAAGTGTTTTACTGTTAGATAATGAAAGACAAATATAATGTAAATATTTTTGTGATACACGTGTTTCTCTTCGCGTAAGGTTTAAGTTTAAGTCAGCAGTCTTCTAAGAATTTGGATCTTGTCTAACTTGTTAATTTCGACAGTGAGAAAATGTTAAACTAAATGCATCTCATGATTGTACAGTCATGGTAGGTTGCTTTCGATTTAATCGGAAGGTCAGCGGATTGTCCATATTGCTTATGTAAAGTACTGTGGAATACTAGAGGGAACAGCCATGGAGAGTGGGGCTTATTTTAGAAGATTTTTTGAAAGCTTTTCCGAAGTGGAAGGACCAACTACGTTCACTATTACTAGGAGTGATGAAAGCTTTTCCGAAGTGGAAGGACCAACTACGTTCACTATTACTAGGAGTGACGAAAGCTATTCCGAAGTGGAAGGATCATCTACGTTCACTATTACTAGGAGTGACGAAAGCTTTTCCGAAGTAGAAGGACCAACTACGTTCACTATTACTAGGAGTGATGAAAGCTATTCCGAAGTGGAAGGATCATCTACGTTCACTATTACTAGGAGTGATGAAAGCTTTTCCGAAGTGGAAGTACCAACTACGTTCACTATTACTAGGAGTGATGAAAGCTATTCCGAAGTGGAAGGATCATCTACGTTCACTATTACTAGGAGTGATGAAAGCTTTTCCGAAGTGAAAGTACCAACTACGTTCACTATTACTAGGAGTGATGAAAGCTTTTCCGAAGTGGAAGGATCGTCTACGTTCACTATTACTAGGAGTGATGAAAGCTTTTCCGAAGTGGAAGGACCATCTACGTTCACTATTACTAGGAGTGAGAAGCTGATTCATTTCCACTGTATTGTTACATACGAATATCTGGAACACCAACTGAAGCCCAATGTTTCTTTTCTTTTAGTTTAGCTTCAGGTTTCTGTAAAGTCGAGCTCAATGAAGCCAATCATCAGAGACAACATGTTCGACAAGCAAAAGGCTGTTGAAGTTCAAGGTTATGCTTTTTGGTCTCTGTGATATTCTGCCTACTTTCGAGAGACTATTGCAGATGATTGTCTGAGGTCTCTGATGGGAATGTTGCTAGACTTACGTTGACAGTGCGCAACTATTTTCAAAGACATATAAAGAGGATTTGACAAACCTCTGAATAGTTAAGGAAAGACTGAGAAATGGTGGCTTAAAGCTCAAGCCGAGTTTATAAGTGTTTATCTTCAGTTGGTAGGTCATTTGGTCTGTAGATATTTGGACTTCTGCAGATCCATCCAAGAGGCAAGCAGCATATTTCACCAAAAGATGTCCGGAGTTGCTTAAGCTTTGCATCATATTATTGATGTTATGTGGTTAACTTTTCAAGTGTGACTGAACCCTTGCTCTGTCTCATAAGACAGGGTGCTCAATACGAATGAGATTAGATGCGTGAAAGAGAAACACAACTGACAGTCTGTAGGAGGTGATAAGACCGCTATCATATCTTAACTTTGAATCCAATTTTCACCACTTAAGATGAATGTCACGAAAAGCAAAAGGTTTAAAACGAACACTATGTTATTGTAAATGTCATTTCTAGTTAAAATAAAAAAGCCTAGACATATACCTTTTACAGATAGTGAAAAAAAATCGCTTTTTGTGGTTGGTGGCCGTCATACCTATAAGATTTGATAAAATGTAAGACGGCCCCTATCTAACTCTTAAAAAACGCAATTCAAACTCTTTCTGCATTCAGCAACTGAATTTAAATAATTTAATTAAGTCATTATTTTAATACCTGCCCCCCTCTCCCCCTCAGTGGCACAGCAGCATGTCTGTGGACTTAAAACGCTAGAAACCGGGTTTCGATATCCGTGGTGGGCAGAGCACAGATAGCCCCATTGTGTAGCTTTTTAACTTCAAAACAACAATTTAAATACCTCTTACAGGGATCGGGAAGGCCGTGAGTCATGCGTATTACTAGGACAATGACCCAAAGAACATGAGTATTAAATATGAATAAAAAATTAGATCAGTAGTAACGCAGGGTAAGATAGCACCCATCTCTCGATAAGACCCTTCCCCTTCGCAGGTTCCGTTCTACTCTACGCTATTTATCGTAAAGTAATCGCATTCAAACGTTTATAATTCCCCATTCTTTGAAATATCTACTTTATAACAATAAAAAATTCAAACAGATTACCTTAGATCAAAGTTATTTGATTTTGCACATTCATACCTCTCCACCAGTTTGTTTATGCAAGGTGTCACGTGAACAATAGTTACATATAAGTCACTTAGATGGCAACACGTGATAACTAATAATATTCAGAGGGATATCATGTTTCAGAGTCTCAGTCCCAGACATAAAACGTTGGCGCTCGAGGCTCTCCTCTGTAGCTTTATACATATCTGTAAAAGTCTTCATTTGGTTCTTCCACTGAAGCTCTCTCTATATTTGAGACTCCTACTCTTTCTCTGTAACATGGGATTTGACTGTGTGCAGTTCGAGGTGATACTTGAATATCGCAATTTAGGTGATCAGATTGCCTAAGCAATGGATCTATACAGTCTGTTCTTAACGGTTCTCAGGCTCTAAGCATGCACCACTGCCATATCAGATGAGGTCTGGAAAAGCTTTTTTTTTCATTCCTTATCAAAATTTCTTTTCTGTCTCACAACAACTTCGTCATATTATTGACGAGATTTGACCAGGAGTCGACTCAGCCATAAAACTTGTGGGCAAATATATAGGAGAACAGCTGAAATCAACAGGAGAAAGTGGTGTAAGACGGCAAAACAACGACCAGTGCCAGGCATAGATTGTGTCAGTTTTTTTTTATTGGGCTGTGGATTCTTTACAATAGGTGTCTGTGACTTGTTGGCGATAAATTCGAACAATAAACGGACAGCACACAATCCACTTGTTTTAAAATAATATATATGCAAAACAAGTTAAACGTATGTACAAAAAAATTTTAAACTATTGTTTACCACAGTTGAATCTATAGCTTTAATAAATAATTATATTTTTTGTCAAAAGTCCACACACGCTGGTTCAGTTACTTTAGAACCTAACTGACAAGACGAATCATTTTTTCTCTCCTTTTTTTATCAAAATACAAATGTTAAATTTACTTACGTTACCCCATGGGTTACCACAGTTGTATCCAGAGCTTTAAATAATTGTTTCCTTTTTGTCAAAGGTCATACAGGTGGGTTCAAGTACTTTAGAACACCCTTTGATAAGACAAATTATCTCCATTGTTACAATACCACTGTGAAACTCACTTTAGATATCGCCCGTTATGTCTAAACTAACAATCACGAAGTTTCACTTCATTTTCACTATGTTACTTTAACGTCTTGTATCTACAGGTATACATATAACATGCGATAGAATAGTCTAGAAATCTC